ATCGCAACTCGTCATCAATTTGCCGAGAAGTGAAGAATCTGCGGATGTGCATTAGTGAACTGAAAGGATGTGATGTCATGAAGAAGCACCCTAAATTTGTTTTGTCCATGGACATACTTGAAAAACATAGGAAATGCTTCTTTGTCAATTATTCCAGGATATTGGAGGTCCTCAAGAAAAAAGGTGGGCACGAAAATGTTTACATAACTGTCCTTTTTTATCAAATGTTTCCAGCATGTTTGGATGTAAGTAGAAAAACTCACTGATTGTTTTTTTCTTAAGCTTTGTTTTGTCCTTATTACCGGTCATGCAGTCATCTTCTCTTTCCTTGGAAATGATTTAAAGTCCCTATGACACCTATTTTTTTTAGCATTAAATTTTCAAAATAGAAGTATGTAGAGGGTGTCTGGTAAGATTTGTGGGTGATTCTGATGCGTCTTTGTTATTTTACAAGGCGATAAAAGTCTGAAATTGTATAGAATTTAGGCTCCCCGTATCTCCTTGGCCGCGTTAAAGAGTACTGGAACCCATGATGTAACGGTAGTTTTTAAGTAACACCAAGTTTATCAAAGAAGCAAAGTGAGTTTGGAAGCAACTGTTTACAATCTTTTTAGCCAAAAAAACGCCATTTCGATGTGTAGTTTGGGGTTTTTCGAATACCCCTAACTCGACGAAGAATATTTCTCTCCACAAGATTCCTACTGTGACGTCATGGCACCCAGTCCCTCTTTGCTTGGCCAGATATTTTATTTGCAGATTATAGAGCTTGATAAAAAATTCAGAAAAGGGCAAAATACCACAAACGTTGCGAAAACATGTTTGAGAGTCATTATTGACCGAATCGAAATATGGCGTCCAATTTGAATTGCCATTGTTCTGGACTGACTAGCCTCTCACACATGTGATAATCCTTTTGTGTTTCCACGTCAAGACAAGGCTAGTAAGTCCAAAACAATGGTAATTCAAATTGGAGTCCATATTTCGATTCGGTCAATATTTTGATGTAGAATAGAAAAAAATAAGTGTCATAGGCACTTTAAGTGTGGTACAGGTACAAGTAGTTTCATTCAAGCTTGTTTGTGGAAGCAGAGAATGTTTTGGTTTTCAATGTACATTTTTGCAGTTTAAAAATAAGAATTACTGTTGTAAACAAAGCTGTTTTTCAATTTGTTACCTCTTCAATTTTGTTACTTCAATTTTTTTTCTCTTTAGATAATGCTCCGAAACCAGTTATTGTTATTCCCAAAGTTGTGAAAACTCCCAAAACAGGTCTGTGAACAAGATAATGTTTATTAGTTATGTTTTGCTATTTTGAAACTTAAAGAAAGCAAAAAGTGGAATGGAGAAGTTAATTTTTGAATCTACAAATGTTTTATGGATGAGATGTTTGAATATGGTGGGAAAGTTTAGAAGATATTTATTCCCCATTTTGAAATGTTTACCATGATGGAAACTTTTTGCAAATCTTACATGTGTTTCACAATTTCTCCTATTTTCTTTTTTTCACAACATGACCTTTCTTTGGAGAATCCATTCCAGTCAAGAGGATTAACGTGACAATTAAACCCTCGGCTAGTGAATCAGAACCACAAAGTGAACATCTTCCATATACTTTTGTTGTTGTTGCAACGGTGTGTACATGCATGTTTCTAGTGGTACTTGTTGTGTTCAGCATTGTACGGCATACAACACTCTCAAAACGTCAAAGAAACTCAATAGTGGTACGAGCACCACCAAGAATACATATCAGAACACAAAATCGCAGATACAGAACAAGACGGCACCACCATCATCGCCATCATAGAGGACATGTTGTTATCCAGGGTGCACGGCAGACTGTCTCTGGATTCTTTGAGGGGAAAGTTGCCCCTCCTCCATACAGTGCTGTGCTAGATGATAATGAAAGCGTTAGAGCTGGTGACCCACCTCCTCCATATCGACCACCCTCTTGTATGGCACTAGGTGTCATTGTTTAGCTTTCATTGGAACACATTCGACATGTTATTCCACAAGAATGGCCATGTCTATCACCATTGTGAGGGTCAGATAAATTTTGCTTCAGAAATTGAACATAATGCTTTCGAGCATCACCCCTGAAAACATGGTATTATGCTGAAATTTATGTTCAAGTTAATAATTCAAAATACTAGTTTTTAAAAGCCCCCCCCCCCCCAAACGCTCCTTCCTGCACTCCTCATTCCCACAACCAAGAGGTAACACTTGCTAAGAATGAAAGGCATACCAAAGTTCACAACATGACACTAAGTGGAACAAATTCCCATACTGCAAGCAAGAAAAGCAGGCCATTGTTGACAGTGCTCAGGCAACAAAATCTATCTCCAGTTAAATGAAACATCAAGACAACATTTATGAAGTTAAGTCATTATGCCGCGATAATGCTCTATGCCCTGACTGTTGCATCATATGCAAAATTATGCCAACATGACATATCTGACCCAAGCTAATTTGAGATGCCTTTAATATTTTCACTTCCCTTAGACTTCGGTGGTGTTGAGTTTCTGGCCAGCCAGCCTTTAGTACATAGGAGTATAGGACGAAAGTTTTGAATCACAAATAAGTGGGGACTTTTTCGACTACAACACAAGCAAAAACATTGGCTGACATGCATTGACACAGATTGGACGCGCATTGGTGTCTTAAGTAAGGATCCTGTCAAACAAAGGAATTTTCCAATGTGATCGGCATCTTGGTGCCTTTGCTTATGTTGGCACCTGCATGTGTTGTATCTGAGCAACTGTGTACCTACCCCTTCCCTGACCAAGCAACAGTCAACCAATAGTGTCAGTAAGGGGAGGGGTGGGTGTGTAATTGCTCAGATACTGATATTGATCAAACAGTGTTAGTATCTTAGCAACTGTGCACTTACCCCCAACCTAACCTAATAGCAGTCAACTGATAATGTTTGTACAGGGGAGGGGTAGGTGTGCAGCAGTGTAAATATCTGAGCAACTGTGCACTTACCCCTCCCCTAATCTAACAGCAGTCAACTGATAATGTTTGTACAGGGGAGGGGTGGGTGTGCAGCTCCTTAGATACTGATATTGTACCTGAAAATCAGTTGCAAAGGAAAAAAAATTTTATATGTAAAGTGTATATAAAGACAGTTTTAATGAAATATACGAGAGATCTATTTTACTTGTATTTACCTAATATCAAGGTGACTAAAATATTCAGTTTTTTTGATAAAAGCAAATGAATTAGAATATACGCATGAAGTTAGGAAATGTTGATTTTTGATGGAAAGATTGGGTTTGACTATTTCATTTCTGCAAAAATAATAAGGTAAGTTAAAGAACAGATGACAATTTTACACTTTTAAGCCATGTTATGAACAGACAACTCCAGTTGTAGACAGAGAAATCAATCTAGAAATACTTCATTAAAAAAAAAAAAAAACTTTCATTCATTTTAATCTATGACTTGTAAGCCCCAGTCTTTACTCGGATTATGGCTCATCCTCAGTGTAAAAACCTGTGAAGCTCACGAATGACGTAAAACAAAGACAGCGAAACATTAGAAACAATAGTGTACAGCAAAACAGTACCTCATGAAAAAAAAGAAAACTTCGTCAGGATTTTACACCGAGGATGACCCCGGAGTATTGCAGTTCTATATTAATAAACGTCTTTGGAGATTTTTTCCATATAATTCTTACCACTGTAAAAGCCCTCACGAATAACGTAGGAGGTGTGGGAAATACGTAAAAGCTGGAAATGTTTACAATGCAATGGCGGTCTGACCGGCGTAAGTCTTGAACCCAAATGTCACGATCTTGTTGGTGCATGAGGTCCATAGCGGCGGGTTGCGTGAAGATCACGCAGGAGAAGTTCCCTGGTAACCCTGTGCGGGACTGACTCGCGGATGTCGCACAGGAACAGGTCCAAAGGCAAGCCTGTTCAGTGCACGTTCAAGACATGGCCTTTGCGATACAAGGGCAAGTGGTGGCCCGAGTCTTATTATGTCCACTGTGTCCGTTAACCTTTAATTCAAGAAGTGATTAACATCTAACTTCTCCCTAGACTTATTCTTAATATCCATACCTCATCCAACAAACAGATAATGAGAACACTCAACTCACTAACAGCTAGAGGGGAGAATTAACGATCACATCTTGGGAGTTGAATAGTTAAGCTACTGAACTTTCTGTTACATTAGGAGATCGAAGTGAATCCTGAGTGGTGGAAGATACCGAACTTTTCAATGTAGAACTGTCGAGAATGCATTTCCGCTCGCTGTATGGAACAGTTCCTGTCTCTTAATATTATTTCGTGCGCGTTTTAAGGTAGACCTTAACCAGCCGTGCAAGATGCCGTTTTCTTGACTGAAAACTTTTTCGTACAAATCTTTCTTTGAGGTTTTATGAACTGCTGTCTTAAGTTTTTCTGACAATCTGGCCGATCTTTAATATCCTAACTGAAGTGTTCAATTATGTCCCAATTTTTCCGTCTGCACATAAATTTTTTAACAAACTTTAGATTGTTTGGGTCCAAAATTACTCTTTATGTGTATAGTTACACATAAAATGGTCAGTCATGTGATTTTTTGCAATTTCCTAAAGTTTTTGTTCTGAAGTTTTAGTTATAGAAATCTAAGAAATACGTAATAAAGAAAGTATTTGAGATATTGTTGCCTTTCATATTTTTAGGTGCTCAGAGGCTTGCAACAAGCTTTATATAAATTATACATAGTAGTATGTTTTGGTTCGCATAAAAAGGAGAAGATTATCTCAAAAAAAGATTTTCCAGATGGAAAGGGTAAAGTAAATCACTTGTTACGTTAATGTACTAAAAGTGCTCATCAATTTCAATGTTCATCAATTCGAGGTATTAGCGGTTTTTTAGTTATATCGAGAGTCTACATTGTATCTTTAGTTTTATGTAATTATACAGTTTTTAAATAAACATGAACATCATCAAATAATATGGTTTTATCAAAGTATGTCTTTTCACCCTCATTATTATAGTAATCACCGTATCTATGTATCAAGGCTTCCATCACCGTCACGATCAATGTCTGTGTGGGTAGATATGGCAGAGGTATATGCAAAAGACGCAGCACTATTAGGGACTTTAAATAGGACTTTAAGCAAACCACGACG